ATCATGTGCACTCTATAGAAAACCCATTAGAGGCTCTTAACTTCCAGAGACGATGTTTAAGATATGGGTTATAAAATGCTGCCCTTAATATGGTACCTGCCATCAAACCTAACAAAGATTTCATGAATTCCCTTTAAAAATCATGAGAAAAGTTTAAAATAAGATTTCATTGCTTTTTTCTACAGCAATATAAAGCAGCCAAGAATTTCTATTTCTATGATTAATTTACTACAATAAAATGTAATGTATTAAATAATACTAGTACAAGAGCATTTTATTGCAGTGAATACAAGACTAATGCATTTACTAAATTACTCATCCTAAATGTATTATTTCAGGCGATATTGTGACAAAACAAGTGTTTCAGATTCAGAGGCTCTGTGTGCCAGGGCTGCTAGGCCGCCAACAAGTGAGGAAGCCATAGGTTTCTCTAGTCCTATTTTCTTATGTGGAGGATAAAAAGAGTATCACTTAAATATTCTCTCACACCCTGAAAACAGATGACAACTTAAAAAATCTTTCGCTTCATGTTTAAATAATACTGCCATGACATGCCTCAAACAAGACTCTCAGAGAATACTTTCCATTCATTTCAAAACTTGATCAATGTCATTCTGTAAGTCATCTGACCTGCACCTAGCCATTTTCCTGCTCTACCCCTGCTCTCTGCCTAGAATACTTCTTTTCTCTTTCCTTGCTTCAGCAAGCTTGACTCCATCTACCCTCTTGGATCTCTTTGTCGGCAACCACACCAAAAAATGTTTTTTCTACACTAATTAGTCGAATTCACAAGATACGAATTGTTGCAGAGTATTCCCCTCATGAGAAAGTACGCCTCTCCTTAAGAGTACGGGAGGGCCCTTACTCTTCCTACCTCCAGTTCCTGAGCATAGAATTTTGAGTAAATCCAAAACTTTGACAAGTGTTTGACAATTCAGTTATAATTTGGAAGATAAGTCTTACTACATTTAATTACAGCAAAAACACTACTAACAGTTTACTGTTTATAGGTATTATTTAAGGTAGTCACAAAATGGAAACAAATAATCTAACATCAGTCAGCATAAATCAGAGTATGAAATTTTATGATCTTTAACAAGAAATGGAAGGGGTTACTTAGTAGTTTTAAGGTTTCATAACAAAAACTAGAAAATAATCATACCTAGTAATTTAGTAAGTCAAAACCAAAGCCTTAACATCAAAGGTCCAGGACCCACTGGATGCCGATGCCCACCCACTGACTTCTTCTGCTGTACCTGCTGCCTCTCATTTTAACCCATTAAAAATATTAAAGTTGTTTTCCTTTTAGAGGTCTTCATTTCCTTCGTTAGGTCTATTCCTAATTATTTTATTTTATTTATTTTATTTTTGCAGCTATCATAAAAGGGGTTGAGTTCTTGGTTTGATTCTAAGGTTGGTCGCTGTTAGGGTATAACAGAGCTACTGATTTGTGTACATTAATTTTGTCTCCTGAAACTTTCCTGAATTCATTTATCAGTTCTAGGAGCTTTTTGGAGGAGTCTTTAGGGTTTCCTAGGTATACAATCATGTCATCAGCAAACAGCAACAGTGTGACTTCCTCTTTACCGATCTGGATGCCTTTCATTGCTTTCTCTCATGTGATTGCTTTGGCTAGGCCTTCCAGTACTATGCTGAATAGAAGTGGTGAGAGTGGGCATCCTTGTCTTGTTCCGGTTCTCAGGGGGAATGCTTTCAACTTTTCCCCATTCGGTATTATGTTGGCTGTGGGTTTGTCATAGATGGCATTTATTACATTGAGGTATGATCCGTGTACACCGATTTTGATAAGGGTTTTAATTATAAAAGGATGCTGCATTCTGTCAGATGTTTTTTCTGTGTCTACTGAGATGATCATGTGATTTTTTTTGTTTTTAATTCTGTTTATGTGGTGTATCACATTTATTGACTTGTGTACGTTAATCCATCCCTGCATCCCTGGTATGAAACCCATGTGATCATGGTGGATTATCTTTTCTTTGAGATGGAGTCTTGCTCTGTCACCCAGGCTGCAGTGCAGTGGGGTGATCTTGGCTAACTGCAACCTCTGCCTCCCAGGTTCAACCCGCCTCCCAGGTTCAAGTGATTCTCCTGTCTCAGCCTCCTAAGTAGCTGGGATTACAGGCATGCGTCACCATGCCCGGCTAATTTTTGTATTTTTAGTAGAGACAGGGTTTCACCATGTTGGCCAGGCTGGTCTCGAACTTCTGACCTGGGGATCCGCCCGCTTCGGCCTCCCAAAGTGCTGGGATTACAGGCGTGAGCCACCGTGCCCGGATGGATTATCTTTTTGATATGCCATTGGGAACTACAAAACATTGCTGAATGAAATCATAGACACAAACAAATGGAAAGACATCCCATGCTCATGAATGGGTAGAATGAATATTGTGAAAATGACCATACTGCCAAAAGCAATCTATAAATTCAATGTAATTTCCATCAAAATACCACCATCCTTCTTCACAGAACTAGAAAAAAAATCCTAAAATTCATATGGGACCAAACAAGAACCCACATAGCCAAAACAAAACCAAGCGAAAACAAATCTGGAGGCATCACATTACTTATTTCAAACTATACTAGAAGGCCATAGTCACCAAAATAGCATGGTAGTGGTACAAAAGTAGGCACATACACCAATGGAACAGAATAGAGAACCCAGAAATAAACTCAAATACCTATAGTCAACTGATTTTCAACAAAGCCAACTAAAACACAAGGTGAAGAAAGTAAACCTTATTCAACAAATGGTGCTGGGATAATTGGCAAGCCACATGCAGGAGAATGAAACTGGATCCTCAACTCTCACCTTACACAAAAATCAACTCAAGATGGATCAAGGACATACGTCTATGACCTGAAATCATAAAAATTCTAGAAGATAACACTGGAAAAACCCGTCTAGACATTGGCTTAGGCAAAGACTTCATGACCAAGAACACAAAAGCAAATGCAACAAAACAAACAGGTGAAACTTAACTAAATAGCTTCTGCACAGGGAAAGGAGTAAACGGACAACCCACAGAGTGGGAGGAAATTTTCCCAGTCTATATATCTGACAAAGGGCTATTATCCAGAATCTATGAGGAACTCAAACAAGTTACAACTACAAAAATATGGAACCAGCCCAAATGCCCATCAATCAAGGAGTGGATAAAGAAACTGTGATATACATACACATATATTTTTGAGGAATACCACTCAGCCATAATAAGGAATAAATTAACGGCATTCCCAGCAACCTGGATGAAAGTAAAGACTATTATTCCAAGTGAAGTAACTCAGCATGGAAAACCAAACATCGTATGTTCTCATCCATATGTGGGAGCTAAGCTATGAGGATGCAAAGCCGTAAGAATGATACGATAGACTTTGAGGACTCGGGGAAAGGCTGGGAGGAGGGTGAGGTATAAAAGACTACAAACTGGGTTCAGTGGATACCGCTCAGGTGATGGATGCACCAAAATCTCACAAATCATCACTAAAGAAATTAGTCATGTAACCAAATACCACCTGTTCCCCCAAAACCCTATGGAATAAATAAATAAAGTACAGCATTTTTCTCAGCAAACATAAATAAAATAAAACAAAGACTAAAGTTCACATTTTTCGCTCTCCTTTTGGGCAGGACAAATTTTAGGTATGTTTTTAAAGAATTAATAACTTTTTTTCTTTTTCTGAGACAGGGTGTCTCTTTGTTGCCCAGGCTGGAGTGCAGTGGTGCAATTATAGTTAACTGCAGCCTCAAACTCCTGAGCTCAAGCGATCCTCTGCCTCAGCCTCCTGAGTAGGCAAAACAAAAGGCACATGCCACCAGGCCTGGCTAATCTGTTATTTAACGTTATTGTAGACATGAGGTCTTGCTATGTTGACCAGGCTAAAAATGAACAAATCTTAATTAACTTAAATATTTCTAACACTTTGGGCATTCATGAAACCAGCTCCATCTCAGTTGTGAAGTAAAGGGAAGTATATGGCAGTGGATAAAGTTTGAAAATATTAAACAAAGCCTTATGAGAAAAGTGTAATATGCTTATTATAGATACACTAATTTAAAAAATTCTCTAGATTAATATCATTATACTGAAATTAGACTTTGATTTAAGCACAGGTCCTAAATTTGGATTAAATATAATAGATTGACCACAAATTTATTTTCTCTCCCTCCAGAAGTCTCATCAGTCATAAAATAAAGGTTACACACATGACCAGGAGAGAAGGTTGACAGAGATAGTTTTTAATAAATGCTGTGATATAAAAAGTAGATAAAGGAGTGGTAAATAACACGGAAGCACAACTTTGGTGCCTACAGAAAGTGACTGGAACAGAAGCAAGCCAGTTTGTCTTGCAGAACTAAAGGCAGGTTGTGAACTTACAGGCAAATGGCACTTTGGAAAGTAGGGTAAAATGTAAAACAAAAGCCAGCAAGGTCAGTTGAAAATCTCTAACCAGAGGCCCGAGTCTACCTGTCCTTCCATCTGACAAGAAACTTAGATGTGTGTTCTCTGGATGTATCAAACCTGAGAATTTCTGGCTCATGAAATTATACCATGACTTAAACCTGAGATATAAAGAAAACTGTATACCAAAAATGGAACTCCAACTTCCTTCGCTAACTCTGCTTTTGGAAAGCAAGTGGCCACGCTTTTACTTCCCAGGCAGAAAATTGGGAGATCCTTCTCAGAAGAAACGGAAATGTCTCGAATAAAGATCCCCAGATAATATACTGAGGTCCCCCAAATGAAAAGCTAGTTTGGCTTCCAAAACCTCACAGTGAGTGCTATCAGCTAACAGAAGTCCTGCTTCCAAATAAAGCAGGCCAGGGAACACCACACATTGGATGGAAGCCTCCAACAAAAGAGATCAAAACAATAGAAAAAAGGAATTCATGGGAGCAGTCAAAACCAGGAGCAAAACTTGAAAAAAAACTTAAAACACTCTCAAAAATATAAAATTCAACAGAAAGACTAGAGGATAAAGTCACAGAATATCCCAGACCTAGAATAAAAAAACAAAATAAAAAAATAGAAAGGGAAAAATTAAAAACCAATGCAAGTGTACTGGTCTAAGCAGCCTAGCGTCTGAATAACGAGACTATCAGTAAAAAAGTAACAGAGAAAATAAAAAAAAAAATTATCAAGAAGAGATAGTCTCAGGTTTAGTAGCCTCAATAGAATGAAAAGATCCCCACCAAGCTGTTATTATAAAATTTCAGAACCTCAGAGAGAGAGAAGATCCTAAAAAGCTTCAACAGATACCTAAAACCTGGTTGTAAACAGTGTATCACACACTGGCAATAGATTCAAGAACAACACTGTAATGAGAGCACAATTGCAAAATGTCTTCAGAACCATAAAATCTAGATTCAACCTAGAGGTGTCCTCTCTATCAAAGAGGAGGGATTTTAACACTGGCCAGCTCTCTAAACATCTCCACTCAGGAAAATGTGTTCAAGTACAACTAGAGAGGATAACAGGACAGAAGGAAACACAGAATCTAGGACTCAGGCGATCCCACACAAGACAGCAGTTATGTGAGATCCCAAAAGACTTTAAGGAGATAGCACAGAAAAGCAGACATCGAGCATACCTAGGGAAAGCCACTCCATACTGAACTAGGATGACAAAAGGCCAAAGAAAGTTGGCCCCCCAACACACACACAAAAGGAACAGATGTGTTTTCGCAGATGGAAAGCATCTTTGAAAGGCATGTGATAAATGCTACAACACTTGGGGAAAAACAGCTATTAGAAAATAAGCAAACGGCCGGGCGAGGTGGCGGGCGCCTGTAGTCCCAGCTACTCGGGAGGCTGAGGCAGGAGAATGATGTAAACCCGGGAGGCGGAGCTTGCAGTGAGCTGAGATCCGGCCACTGCACTCCCGCCTGGGCGACAGAGCAAGACTCCGTCTCAAAAAAAAAAAAAAAAAAGAAAATAAGCAAACGAATATGGTCAGAAAATTAGCTTCACGCTAAAAAATAATGGATGTGAAAGCAAACAGACCACCCAGAGGCTCCTTACTATATTTGGATGGATAAACTAACATAGGCTAGGAAAAAAGAGAATATCCAGGAGAATTGCAGAAGTGCTCAGATTTCAGAACTGTTTCAGAGACAGGATGAAGGATATGTAATGCAGAGGCACAGCAAAAACACCATATGACTTAGCAGTGAATAATATTTGCAGAGTCATAATCATGTAAATATTACTGATTTAATGAAGAAGTGTGCTACTATTAGAAGAAACAGAGGGAGGAACATAAGACCATGATGTAGCAAGGAAGGTATGCTTTCACCTGCTGTGACAGAAAGTCAGTAGACTGTACTGGCAATTAACTTAGCTCTTCTATTTTTGTTATTTCATTAAAAATAGGATTAAATGTTTAAGGCAGATCTGTTTTTTTTTGAAACAGAGTTTCACTCTCTCACCCAGGCTGGAATGCAATGGTGTGATCTCGGCTCACTGCAACCTCCACCTTGCGGGTTCAAGTGATTCTCCTGCCTCAGCCTCCTGAGTAGCTGAGATTCCAGGCATGAGCCACCACGCCTGGCTAATCTGGTATTTTTAGTAGAGACAGAATTTCACCATGTTGGTCAGGGTTGTCTCGAACTCCTGATGATCCACTCGCCTCGGACTCCTAAAGTGCTGGGATTGTAGGCATGAGCCACGACGTCCAGCCTTAAGGCAGATATTTTTACCACAACCAGACTATTGAAATTCAACTTAAACATCAGAAATCCTTAAAAGGACACACTAAGCTAAAGACTTTTCTGGATACATTTAATACTTAGGAAAATAGAAGAGATTTAGAAAATCCACAAAAAAGGGTCCATGCTATCGCCACTGGGTCCACATTGTAATTTAAAGAAATCAAGAGAGACACACTTTTATGTCAAACTATCAATTTCTTAACTATTTGACTGTTTACTTACGTGGTTTGTATAGTTGCTTCTTCTTATTTCTATAACTAAGAATAAAAAAAAAAACTGGTCACTTCTGATACAAATGCCATAAAATAAAAGTAGTTGTTAACATCTTACTGATTACTCCTATGTAAAATGAGACAAAATTCCATTTAAAAAATTATTTTCAACAATTTATAATTTAAATTATCTGGCATGATTAATTTCATAAAGTTTCTATTACATACAAATGAAAGTTTCTATTTCATAAAGTTTATATTACATAAAAATGAAAGAATCCTCATGTACAAAAGAAAAGGGCAAAAAATTAGGTCAGATGGAAAATTTAGCTAATAAAAAAGTTTAACTGTTGCATATATGAGCCATGATCCATTAGTATTCTCTCATTCTGCATTTACACATAGGTTACTTTAATTATCAGAAGCTAAGAGCTAACAGCTCTAAGAACTACTTCCTGACCAGGCATCTATCTCTAGATGCAACAGAATCCCTGTAAGCATCTTGAACCACACTTAGTGGTTACCTACTAAGGACTTGCACCACACTTAGTGGTTACGTATATGTCACTAAAAACAAAACAAAACAAAACACGGGTCTTTACACAACTGGAAAGTAATCTATCTTAAATTTTATTTATTTATCTTTTTTTGAGACAGAGTCTCACTCTGTCACCTAGGCTGCAGTGCAGTGGCGGGATCTCAGCTCACTGCAACCTCAGCCTCCTGGGCTCAAGTGATTCTCCAGCCTTAGCCTCCTGACTAGCTGGCACTACAGGCACATGCCACCTTGCCTAACTAATTTTTTTTTTTGTATTTTTAGTAGAGAAGAGGTTACACTGCATTAGCCAGGATGGTCTTGATCTCCTAACCTCGTGATCCAACCACCTCAGCCTCCCAAAGAGCTGGGATTACAGGTGTAAGCCACAGAGCCTGGCCTAAATTTTAATTTTAAAATGAATATACAAACATAATTGGACATGGTGTCTGCAGCACAAAAAATCATTTTTTTCTCTCTAAAAAAAGGCCAGAATAATAAAAGCCCCAAGAAGGACTTGGGCCATGCTTTGTTTCCTACACTGCCTCTGCCTTTGATGCTGGAAGGGCCTTGTAGGCAAAAGTTCCTACCACCAAAGAGTGAGGGACATGGAATAGCTTTTCTTTTACCGCTTCCATGCTCTCTAGGTGAGAGAAGCCCATGACTCTGGAAGGAGCTGGGAAATACAATTCTGATATGTGTTGGATATGTTCCCCTCCAAACCTCATGTTAACATAGGACCCTTAATGTTGGAGAGAGGGCCTAGTGGGAGGTGTTTGGGGGATTCCTTATGAATGGCTTGGTCCCATTCCCATGGTAATAAGCAAATTCTCATTATGGTAGTTTAAAAGAGTGTGGTACCGGCCAGGCGCAGTGGCACAAGCCTAATTCCAGCATTCTGGGAGGCTGAAGCGGGCGGACAACCTGAGGTCAGGAGTTCGAGACCAGCCTGGTCAACGTGGTGAAACTCTGTCTCTACCAAAAATACAAAAATTATCCAAGTGTTGTGGCACCCGCTTATAGTCCCAGCTACTCAGGAGGCTAAGACAGGAGAATTGCTTGAACCTGGGAGGTGGAGGTTGTAGTGAGCCGAGATCACACCACTGCACTCCAGCCTGGGCAACGGAGAGAGACTCCATTTCAAAAAAAATAAATAAAAAGAGTGTGGTACCTTCCCTCTTCTCCTCTCTCCTCCCACTTTCACCATGTGGAACCACCTGCTTCCCCTTTGCCTTCTATCATGATTGTAGCCCTCACCAGAAGCAGATGTTAAAGCCATGTTTGTACAGCCTGAAGATCTATGAGCCAATTAAACCTCTTTTTGTTATAAATTGCCCAGCCTTAGGTATCTCTTTACAGTAATGTAAAAAAGGAGCACAAATTCTAACCAGAAATAACTGATTCAAAATGGACAAAGTCTACTCAAACTATAAAAACAAAGATTAGAAACTCCCATATTTTACTGTGCTGCATTACTTCACATATTATTATAGAACCCTCACTTGTATTCTTGCTGTTTAAGTCAACTGGAAAACTTGGCTGTGTATGGCTTTTTAGCAAACAAATGAGAATTTAACCTAACATTAAGGAAAATAAGCAGGAGTAGGGCATGTTTAAATCTACATTACATCAAATGAAAAGGTTAAAAACTTAAAAGTTCTGAGTAGCATGAACTTGGATGTGGTAAATGAATGTGGTCAGAGGACTGTGTGAGAGGAGGCCCAAATCACAGATTCAATCCCTGATGATAAACAGCTGTATTTTTTAATTTGTTTAAATGAAAACCAAGCTGAAGCCTAAGTTCTATCATTCAGCTTTAAAATGTACTCTTTGGAGCAAGGGAAAAGGGACCAAGAATTATGAATAAAGAGAAATCCATGACTCCTCCGTCACATGACAAATTGTGTTGATAAAAAGATGGCAAAATGTATAAACAAAAAGTTTACATGTTTTCACTAAAATGATAACAACTAAAGGAAAGTGTATCACACATTAAAATAAGACAAGTGGATATGTGAAAAGTTGAAAAATTTAAACCAATATGAGTTTTTCTAAATACTTCCTATAATACACCTGATCAAACAAGAGTTTGTACTGTTTCTCTTAGTGGAAAAAACAATATTGTCTCACCATCCGTTTGAGAGTTCCTCTGGAATATTGTGCTTGCCTCTGCATTGGCAGAAGGGTTAAACTCCAAAGCTATATGTTTAGAGGGAGAAAAGAAAAAAAGAGGTAATCATTTATAAAAATTTATCAATTCGTTTATTCAACTACTGCATTTAGGCTATTTCACTACATCTACGTCTATTCTTATCCATTGAAATGAATGTATAGACATAAGATAGAACCAGGCAAGACGGCATATGCTTGTAGTCCCAGCTACTCAGGAGGCTGAGATGGGAAAATCACTTGAACCCAGGTCAGGAATTTGAGGCCAGCATGAGTAACATAGCGACACCCTCCTTTATTTAAAAAAAAAAAAAAATGAAGAGGTAAATGTCGGCTTTGAGTTGTATAAAATCAACTTTGCATAAAATAAAGATGTCAGTAAGTTTTAAAAGACAGGTCTATTTTATAGGCAAAATATAAGATGTATTCTAGAGTTTTTTTTTTAATTTTTAGAAGTAAATTCAGCATATCTGTCACTTTCATGTCATTCTGAGGACACAGAACCTCAGTTTTGTTGAGTAACTGTCTTCCACAGTCATGTGATATCTATAAGTCTTCATTTCTTCATTAGCAATACATAGGGAGAACATAAATAGGCCGTATTTGTATTGGAAATGGCCAAGTGAGACATACATAAACTGTGTTATAATCCTAAAGAATGACAATAAAGAGCCATTTTGGGGCTCTCATCCAACACTACCCATCTACTAACTGGTGTGTAACATCACTCAGAGGCTTTCCTTACATCACCGAACAGAGTATAAGTTTACACAAGTACTTACATGCTTTGTGTATAAAGGTATAATCAATTAATTCACATATTGGTTTATTCTAAAGCAATCCTTAAATATCTTGAAAAGAGAGGACAGTACTTACAAGTTACAAAGTTACACTCATCAGGTGTCATAATTATCCTACCTCTTAAAAAATTAAGAGCCCAACCGAAGTTTAAATAGAAGAGCTATAAGACATTTCCTCTACAGTAATGAAATCTCTGGCATTTAAATGAAAAAAATAAGCCAACTGGATTTCACATCTTTATGATGCAATGTTTTCTATTTTGAAAATTTTAGTTTTTATTCAGGAATCATATTATTACCCAGAATTACTTTTACTTAGATTCATCTCTCTGCAAGATTTTAGAGGCAAACCAACTAATTGTTTTCTCTTTTCTACCGCCTCCCATCCCCCGCCTCTCCCAGCAATGTAGAGACTTAAAAATCTCCAACTTTCTTCCTTTTTTTTTTTTCTGTGAGATGGGGTCTCGCTCTGTTACCAAGGCTGGAGTACATTGGCACGATCTCTGTTCACTGCAACCTCTGCCTCCCGGGTTCAAGCAATTCTCCTGCCTCAGCCTCATGAGTAGGTGGAACTACAGGCATGCACCACCACACCTAACTAATTTTTGTATTTTTTTTAGTAGAGATGGGGTTTCACCATGTTGGCCAGGCTGGTCTCGAACTCCTGACCTCAGGTGATCCGCCCGCCTTGGCCTCCCAAAGTGCTGGGATTGCAGGAGTGAGCCACCATGCCTGGCCAAAACTCTGACTTTCTTATCTTTCAACAAGATGTTATTGTCAGGAGGGGAAAGGACAAAGGGGGAGCCACAGCAATGAACACTCTTACAGGGAAGGTCTGACATTTTTAACCTGCAATTTTTACATTACATATTAAAAGTCTACATTGACGTTCTATGTCTTGAAAATTTTGACCATGAACCAATCCCCACCTTTCTTTTAGAATAAGGAGGTAAATAAAGTCTGTTAAGTCACCAGAATAAATCTGGAGACACATTTTTTGTTAAAGTAAGAATTTTAAAGTAATCAGAGCCTCATGGGTAAACTCCTTTGACAAACCCTCCCCCCACCCCCACACAACCATTTTTCTGCAGTCCTGGCTGTAACATTTCACACCTTTTACAATTATTTTAAGCACCCTCCTTTTAGTTCCTCCTCCTGTGTTCAAATTACAGTTAGAAGAAACTAAGCAGCCTCTATCAAGGTGACTTACAGCAGCGCATTAAGAATACCATATAGCCTTTCCCATGGCAACCTCCATGCTGATTTTAAATAAGAAATCCCCGAATATCTGAATATGAACTGTCCTGAGATTTACCTACTTTAACAAAGGAAACAATTAGGCACTTACCTGGTTCCTTCACTTAGGTACCATCTGGGTAGGTACAAAGAAAAAAAAAGATGGCTGCTGGAAAGTTGGGATATTTGAGTTTTTATTGAGAAAAGGAAGAGAATGGTCCAAAGAAGCCTCAACAAAGTCCCACAGGATAATACACAGAGATACAGACAATGTTGTCTCACCATCTGTTTGACAGTTCCCATGGAATATTGTGCTTGCCTCTGGATTGGCAGAAGGGTTAAACTCCAAAGCTAAATGTATAGAGGAAGAAAAGAAAAAAAAGATGTAACCATTTATAAAAATTTATCAACTCATTTATTCGACTGCTGCTTATTCAACAAGAAGAGCCATAAATAAATGGTCCCATGGCAGCCTGGGAGAATGAGACGAGAGAGCAAGGACTGGGCGATTGGGAGGGGAGGCGAAAAGAAACTGACTGGACTCGGTGGGGAAAGACTAAGGGGTGGGAACGCAAGGCAGAGCCAGCTCTTGTTCCTGGCCAGCCCCGGGAAAGCTGGCTACAGGCAGAAAGGAGCTCGAAGTGGGTGATGCCTCCCAGGGGACCTTGGGGACAGCAGCAGCCAGAGGCAAGCCCAAGGCAGATGGCACCCGTCACCTCCTTACCTTCAGGCATCTCCCGGTCATGGATGTGGTACATGTGGAGGTCCTCACCAACTTCAACAGTCACCTCAGCAGGCTGCACAGCAGCAGCCATAGGCGCCCCTGCCATCCCGTCCCCAGCTCCTGCCATCCTGTTCCCAGCTCCTGCCATCCTGTCCCCAGCTCCTGCCTCATAGATGTCGGACTTAGAGGGGCACACTGACCCCTGCGGCTGGTCAAACTCAGGGCTGTCCTTGGGGCACACACAACAGGTCAGTACGTTCCCCATGGGGCACTTCTACTCCTGTCTGCCACGACCTGTGCCTCTGCTCACAACTTTGGCCACGTACTCCTGCTGCCCTAGGCTGAGGCTATGCTGCACTTGCAGAGATGGTCTTGCCCGCTGCTTGCCTGACTACCTTACAGCCCGGCCCTGGCCCCAGCTGGGGCTGCGGGCCAAGGCCCGTGCCCTGCTGAATCCCCTGAGCTGACTTGTCTGGGAGGGTGAAGACCTGCCGGCTTATTCAATAGGTTGTGAACCCAAACAAAGCGCTGAGAGACACAACTGCTTGAAGAGAGAACAGTGGGAGCTCCTCCTCCTTCTGTAGTCACCTACAGACTGAAGCCCACTGGCCCAGGTGGGAGCCCAGGCATGTGGCACACAATGCCCCACCCCACACATCACAATGCCCTCCCCGACAGCTCACAGTGCCCCACCCTGGCTGCCACCCCTCCCCAACAGCTCAGAATGCCCCTGCCTGGGCTGCCCCGCCCTGTGGTTTATGATGCTGCTGCTCTCCTGGCCCCTCCTGCAGTGCCAGGTGAACTAAGGTTTTCATTCATCACCAGCTTCCTGAGCTTTTTAGTCCTAAGAAAAGCACAGGGTAGTTCGTTACTTGAAGCCAACTTCCTCTATGAGTTCTACACAAAGCCTCAGTAGAGTGGGTCATTAGCAACTAAGTTGAACAACTTTTACTTGCTGACTGAATATAGATACACCTGAATGGCTGACTGTAACTAAACACTCCTCTCCTGTCTTCCAATGAGTGGTCGTTTTTGTCTACAACTTGACCACAGCAATCCCTGGGGCCCTAGCTTACTCTCAATAAACAGTTATGGCTGTGTGTCTTGAATGACACCTTAGGACCCATCCTGCCTCCACCTCTTTCTCCATAAAATAGAAACCTAACTTGTCCCTCCATGCTCTGAAATGCTGAAACTTACCAATTCCCTTTTCTCCCCGCTATTTCTTCCTTCCATGGCAGGGACTTTCAGATTTTCCTTCTTTTACTAACAAAGCACTAAGCATGATTTTGTCATACAAAATCGAGATCCATAAAGTGGGTTACCACCGTCCTAATTCAATAAAGATGAATACTCGACATGTGGCAAGCAGTGTGCGCCTGACAGTGTCCCCACTATGCTATGCTCATTTAACCCTCAGAAACAGTCTCATTTACAGATTTTACAGAAGAAGTGGAGATGGAGAAGGTAAGTAACCTCCCCAAGGTCACATGACTGCTAAGGGTGGGCCACAATTTGATCCCAGGTAGTCTGAATTCCCCAATTCCTCCAGCATGGTTATCAGAAAATACATCAGTTTTCACACTGATATAAAGAAATACCTGAGGTTGGGTAATTTATAAAGGAAAGAGGTTTAATTGACTCACAGTTTCACATGGCTGGGGAGGCCTCAGGAAACTTACAATCATGGCAGAAGGGGAACCAGGTCCGACTAACATGGTGACCGCACAGAGTGTGAATATGTGAAGGAGCAACTGTCAAACATGTATAAAACCATCAGATCTCAGCTGGGCATGGTGGTTCACACCTGTAACCCTAGCACTTTGGGAGGCCAAGGCAGGTGGATCAATTGAGGTCAGAAGTTCGAGACTACCCTAGCCTACAGGCATGTGCTACCACGCCTGGCTCATTTTTGTATTTTTAGTAGAGACAGGGTTTTACCATGTTGGCCAGGATGGTCTCGACCTCCTGACCTTGTGATCCACCCGCCTCTGCTTCCCAAAGTGCTGGGATTACAGTCGTGAGCCACCATGCTTGGCCACATTTAAATCTTTAATAAATTTTTATTTTAGTTTGGCAAACTATGCCCTCCCCCAAACCCACTGTCGGATTTCGCTAATAAAGTATTATTGGAACACAACCATACTCATTCATTTACTTACTTTCTATTGTTGCTTTCACCCTACCTCCAATGTAAGAGTTGAGTAATTATGACAGAGACTGGATGGCTCACAGAGCCTCAGATGTTTTCTATCTGACTCTTTTATTTTATTTTTTTGAGACAGAGTCTTGCTCTGTCACCTAGGCTGGAGTGCAGTCATATGATCTCAGCTCACTGCAACCTCTGTTTCTCGGCTTCAGGCGATGCTCCTGCCTTAGCCTCCCAAGTAGCTGGGATTACAGGCACCTGCCACAACACCCAGCTAATTTTGGTATTTGTAGTAGAAATGAGGTTTCACCATGTTGGCCAGGTTGGTCTCGAACTCCTGACCTCGTGATCCATCCACCTTGGCCTCCCAAAGTGCTGGGATTACAGGCTTGAGCCACCATGCCTGGCCCTGCCCCTTTACATAAACAGTTTGCTGACCATTGCTCTAAGGCATCCTGTTCATTCTTGCCTTGTGGAAGTAGCAGAATGAATGTAGGTAATAGCAGGGGGAAGTGCTGAGGATGGAAACATCAGCCTCTAGAGCAGCACTGCCCCATTGAACTCTGCGGGAATGAAAACGTTCTTTATCTGCATCGACAAAGGCAGTAGCCACCAGCCACCTGGACTGCTGATCCCATTCTAGTCTGTGCTTTTTGGTGCTCTGTCGTCTTGCTGCTGACTATTCAGCCTGTCACCACAGCACAATCTTGTAGGCAGCCCAGGTTGGTCTCAGCGATCCTGGAGCTACTGACTACTTCCTTGGGTACTGTAAGATCAGATGGGGAATTACTCATATCCAGAGTCAAGATTTTTTACAGCTCCCACAGGTCAACCATTTGCCCAAGTCTGCTCTGAGAGTGACATGATGACAGACGAAGGCACTTGCTAGTTGCCCACTCCTTTCCCCTATTCATTTTATGCATCTTCCTTCTGTCCTTAGGTTATTTGCGCAAATAGTTTCTTGCTCTCGGACCCAGTGTGGGTCAGAGTCAGCATTTGTTAAATATGGTGATTTTCTTTTGGAACAACTAAATCTACTCATCAATCAGTAGGATTGATTTCAGGGGATTCAGGAGACAATAGATTTAGAAAATACACAAACTGCTATTTTGAGAGGCTTGAAAGGGAGAGAGAACTTATGTAAAAAAAAAAAAGTTCCTATGGTAACAACTTTTAATGCTGTTTTATTCAGTCTCCATGGTCTATCAGATAGGTTATGTAGTAACACTAATTTTACAGATGAAGCTAAAATCTGGAAGCGATGTGGAATAATGGAACGAGTTTGGATTTTTGTATTTTGCCCTACATTTAAATCTGGCTTTCCGACATAGAGCTGTTTGATTATAGGCAAATTGTTCTACTTTAATTAGCTTTTGTTTACTTCTTTGTAGACAAGGGGTTTCAAATACCAACCTTGCAGGATTGTGATGGGGAGAGAATATGTAAAGACCTTTGTCAACTATCTGGCACTCGAAAAATGGTAGATGATAATGATGAAGATGTTGTAAAGAATGAATGACTTGGCCAGGTAATGGAGCTTCCAGTATGGAGAGCCATGGCTTTAAACACACCTGCCTGACTCCACGGTCCATGCTGTCAATTCTCCAGTGTAAACGGTTTTTACTCAGTAAGTCTCCATCACAGGCCCTATTCTAGGCTCAGGAAGGCAAAGATTATTACCATCATAACTCTGTCCCCAAAGGGCTCCAATCTATTTAGCATTAAGCATATGTAGAGTTTCAGAAGGAACCAGCGGCGAGACTGGTGAATCAAAGCTTAGTGCCTCACCATACTCCCCCAGTGTATGCTCAATAGTTCGTTGAACTGTGGAGATAAGTTGGTGGGTAGGGTCTCAGAAGAATGAGAGGACAGGAGACACAGCTTAGGTGTTTAGTTTCATATTAGACCGGCTCCTCTGAGCCAGAAGTCGAGGATGAGTGAGCCCGCACCGGGAGCGAGATGACATTCTTTGTCAGCTGAATAACCCACGTAGTGAAGGAGGTTCACGGAGTTGGAAAATCGGTAGGCGGAACCAGGCAGTGGGCTCCCATGTTAGGTTGAAAGGCAGGTGTTAGCTTGAAGCCGGTTACTGTTTACGCCGCAGCTCAGTAGCTTGGAAACTGGAGCAGGAGGCCTGGCTGGGCTTACCCAAAGCTGGGATTTGAGCCCAGGGTGCCTACTCCATTGCCTGGCCTACAGTCCTCAGTAACTTGTACGAGGACCACAGAAAGTTACCTGTTTTCACCCTTGTCTTCAACCAAGCACGGTAATGCCCCCATTTTCCAGATGAGGCAATTGAGGCCAGAAACATTAGAGGTCGTTGAAGCCCCAAGCGGATTTGTTCAGGGCAGGCCGGCCCAAACGCACCAGGAGTGCCCCTGGCTCTGGAGAGGCCACCTACTGGACAGCATCTGCCTGTATCGCCTATCCCCAGCAAATCAGGCACCTGGAAGAGGATCCCCGGTGGGTCCCACGGAGAGCACTCCGGCAACCCCGCCGTTCCCAGCAGGCCGTGCGGCCGCCCTCAAGACGCCCGCGTGGGCAAGAGTCAGGGGTGCGGTGTTGCTAGGAATAAAAGATCAACATCCGGGCCTTGTAACCCACAACCTACAGGGAATGCCAAGAAGGCCCCAGCGCCCTGGCGCCCCTGCAACGGCCCACGTCCGGGTCCAGACCCGCCCCGCCAGCGCTGATTGGAGGGTAGCGAGAGCGTCGTCCAGCGATTGGTAGGTAGTGTCACAAAAGGGGCGGGGCGCGGCGGTCGCGGAGCGTTGTCGGTCAGTGCCTTACGTGGAGTCGCTCGTGGGGTCGCTGGGCCCTGTCGACCTGTGGGCGGGCGAGCGAGCCAGCGGACAAGACTGCAGGTGAGGCTGAGCTAGCAAGCGGCCGGCAGGGGGGGCGCCCGGGCTGCGAGCCGCTGAGCCCAGCCGCGCTGCCGCCCCCGGCCGTAGTAGGGCCGGAATGGCGCAAGGCCGGAGTGGTGTTGCCGCTTGGCGCCTGGCTGCAGGGTAGCGTCCCGTCCCCGCCCCTCGCCTTGCGGCCTGACGCCGGCCGCTGCTGCCCGGGGACCGGAGCGGCGGGTCGCCTTTGCCCAGGACACACGCTCTGGCGTTTGTTCCTTTGGGCGTGACGCCAGCTTCAACGGGTACCCGGCTTTCCCGACGGGTGCTGATCTCCGAGTCGCTGTTGTCACGCGGTCTGCTGTGCTCCAGATTCAGGGCCGTGGGTCTGGGGAGCCGGGATTGGTCTTGGAGGAGCAACGGCTGCGCAGGTGACTCGGTGGCCTCAAGTGTGTAGGTATCAGGATGGCGCGAGGAGATACTGGCTGAAATATTTCCCAATTCCGCTTGCAGATAAACTCCGTACTTGAGCTTAGGCTACAGACAAATTAGGCGGTTGATGTGGTTCTGTACCTCGTATTTAGAACTTTAGGGATGTTTTCACATATCAGTAAAGGAAGATCTGTGTCACAGTTTTAATGGCAGCTTCATATTCTGGATATCTTTATGTTTGGGAAAATGTTTCAAAGGTGATGCTCTTCTGTAGCTAAGCTTTAGAGCAGAGGATGGAGCAAATTCTGAGTTACTGAAATTACGTATTCAGCGCTATTGCCTGTTTACCTTTAACTTCCGTTTCATCTTTGGAGTTGTGTTTTTGGAACTTTTTCAGAAGAGATGAGAGAAATGCTTTGGGAATTGATTTTTTCTTTTTTTTTTTTTCTTTTAAGTTCTAGGGTACATGTGCACAGCGTGCAGATTTGTTACATAGGTATACATGTGCCATGTTGGTTTTCTGCACCGATTACCTCATCGTTTACATTGGGTATTTCTCCTAATGCTGTCCCTCCCACAGTCCACCTCCTCAGACAGGCCGGTGTGTGATGTTCCCCTCCCTGTGTCCAAGTGTTCTCGTTGTTCAGTTCCCACCTCTGAGTGAGAACATGCAGTGTTTGGTTTTCTGTCCTTGTCATAGTTTGCTGAGAATGATTGTTTCCAGCTTCATTCATGTCCCTGCAAAGGACATGAATTCATCCTTTTTTATGGCTGCATAGTATTCCATGGTGTATATGTGCCACATTTTCTTAATCCAGTCTATCATTGATGGACATTTGGGTTGGTTCCAAATCTTTGCTATTGTGAATAGTGCCACAATAAACATACGTGTGCATGTGTCTTTATAGCGGCATGATTTATAATCCTTTGGGTATATACCCAGTAATGGGATGGCTGGGTCAAATGGTATTTCTAGTTCTGGATCCTTGAGGAATCGCCACATTGTCTTCCACAATGGTCGAACTAATCTACAGTCCCACCAACAGTGTAAAAGTGTTCCTATTTCTCCACATCCTCTCCAGCATCTGTTGTTTCCTGACTTTTTAATGATCGCCATTCTAACTGGTGTGAGATTGTATCTCATTGTGGCTTTAATTTGCATTTCTCTGATTGCCAGTGATGATGAGCATTTTTTCATGTGTCTGTTGGCTGCATAAATGTCTTCTTTTGAGAAGTGTCTGTTCATGTCCTTTGCCCACTTTTTGATGTGGTTGTTTGTTTTTTTCTTGAAAATTTAAGTTCTTTGTAGATTCTGGATATTAGCCCTTTGTCAGCTGAATAGATTGCAAAAATTTTCTCCCATTCTGTAGGTTGCCTGTTCACTCTGATGGTAGTTCCTTTTGCTGTGCAGAAGCTCTTTAGTTTAATTAGATCCCATTTGTCTCTTTTGGCTTTTGTTGCCATTGCTTTTGGTGTTTTAGTCATGAAGTCCTTGCCCATGGGCATGTCCTGAATGGTATTACCTAGGTTTTCTTCTAGGGTTTTTAGGGTTTCAGGTCTAACATTTAAGTCTTTAATCAATCTTGAATTAATTTTCGTATAAAGTGTAAGGAAGGGATCCAGTTTCAGCTTTATGCATATGACTAGCCAGTTTTGCCAGCACCATGTATTAAATAGGGAATCCTTTTCCCATTTCTTGTTTTTGTCAGGTTTGTCAAAGATGGTTGTAGGCTGGGTGCGGTGGCTCATGCCTGTAATCCCAGCACTTTGGGAGGCCAAGGCAGGCGGATCATCTGAAGTTGGGAGTTCGAGACCAGCCTAACCAACATGGAGAAACCCCATCTCTACTAAAAATACAAAAAAATTAG